CTCATTCGCAGACTGCTGGAAACAGTTCTACTAACCCACCTCCAACCCAAAGGATACAGATCTCCAGGCTTGGGTCTGGGGAGCTCCTCAAGGTGCCGGTGACTCCTGTTCCAGAGAAGAGCAGGACAAAAAGGAAGACCAGGATCCGGAAGGCCATAGCTAAGGCTCTGGAGCTGGGAGGCGCAACCAGAAAGAGGTAAGCCCCAGGTAAGCCATTCTGCGAGTGAGCGAGCAGGTGACGAGCATTTCTAGGCACCAAGACACAGCCTCTGCGTGCCCAGAGCCCAGCTTTGGGGAGCCCAGTCCCAGCCTCGGGCCTACGCCAGCAGACACGTGACTGAGAGAGTGGGGTGGGAGGGAGGCAGGAAGACAGACCTCGGCTACAAAGGAGCGCTGAGAGCACAGGGTGAGCACCTGGGGTTGCACGGGAGCCCTGGCAGCCCGACCGACCGTGGGCTGCTCAGCCTCTCGGAGCCTCGGCTTTCTCACAGGTAAAGCAGGATAAGGAGGTGACCCCCCTGCCACAGAACGGACTGGACGAGGCTCTGTGCCTGGGGAAGGAGGGGCTCGTCACTATCGTTCCATCTCAAACCCTCATCCTGGCCTTCCAGGAAGATGTCTGGTCAAAGAGGCCCAGGCAGAGAGGATGTGAAGCTTCTGGGGTTTCCCTTCCCTGACTTCTGTCACCAGAAAGGGAGAAAGGTGCAGGGTGAGAAGGGTGCGGGATAACAGGGCTGCTATTCACTCACTCTAGAAACACAGGCACCACCGGCTCTCATTCGGGTACATTCTGCAACTCTCAGCACCCACCCACCCCAGGCGCTGTTCTAGGCTGGGTATACCGCCATGCATAAGACCAAGTCCCCTGCATGGCTGGCTCTGTGGCCCCGCACACGAGTAAGAGACAACCAACAGACGCACAAGCCCCAGAGGAGAAGCAATCCCAGGGGTGCAGTATTAAACACAGTGCTTGCAGGGGGCCTCTCGCTGGGATGACAGCTGTGTGGTTTCACCAATGTGGACCCAGGAAAGTGAGGGGATTGCCCAGCCACTCAGCTCCCTTCAGGCTAACCCTAGAGCCTGGTTGCCAAGCAGAACACCTGCTCCCTGGGAGAAGTTCCTTCCTGACAGTGACAGTCCGAAAAAGTCATTGAGAGAAGCGCCCCCACCCCACGCTGAGACAAACACAGGCTGGGGGTGGGAAATAGTCCAAGTTCATTTGGGAACCGGCACCTTCCAAGACTCGTTCTCCATCCCGGAGTCCCGGAGATTTGGGGCGGCAGTCCAGACTCAAGGGAACCAGAATCAATCTTGGGGGACCTTGAGGCCAAAGGGGTGTATGAGTGATGACTGAAGCAAAGCAGTGGGTCAGCAAAGGCGGAATGCCGCCGCGTGGGGGTGTCCCGCCTGCTCTGCTGTTATTCCCCCCAGGCCGCCCCCAGTCCCCGGGGCTCTCCCGCTCGGCGACTCTGCTCATTCTGCAGGATGGCGTGGTGGTGGCGGGCCCTGAGCCGGGTACCCCGCTCGCGCACTCGGACTGCCGCCCCAAATCTCCGGGACTCCGGGATGGAGAACGAGTCTTGTCAGAGACGTCCCGGGACGCAAATCTCACCCACCTCCTGCAACCCACTCGGGACTCGGTCCCGACGCCGACCGCGGGCTCGCCCGCGTGGTGCCCCCACCCCACCTACCAAGCAAGGCCGGGCGGGCAGGGCCAGCGGCGGGCAGGCCCC